ATCGTAATGAGAGAGCTTGGGTTGACTAATAGAAGATTGATAAACCTAAAAATGAACATGATTGAACAGGTTCCTCTTTGAATTCCTTCATTTCCTATCTTTCCATGATATTTTTAAGAGCATTGAGGACATTTCTCTAAATTTAGGATGGAGTGACTGACTGACTGACTGACTGACTGACTGACTGACTGACTAGGTCATCGCAAGGTTTGATCTTGACAGAGGAAACTGATGCTTCTCAAGTTCGATCAATTTGCCATGCATTGTTGTTGCGATCCTGAAAAGGATGTATGATGTATGAGGAGGAGTGAGGAGAAGAGAGGAGAGGAGAGGAGAGGAGAGCTTTGGAGCTGAAGCGGTGGAGCCAGGGTTGGAGCTTGGAGCTGGTGATCGCGGGTTGGGAGGTTGAGAGTAGGAGCTTGGAGCGAGGGGGCTGGAGCGTGAATCCACACTTCACCGCATCACAAACCCGCAATCAGAGGGTGAAGAAGCGGACTTGCTATTTGTTCGGGCACCACATGAGCTGGGTTCCACTGACTATTGGAGGGTGTCCCGAACACCATTCCTATTTAAGCTTCCTGCTCGAGGAATTGATTATGGGACTGCTTCTATGGAATGGCTGGGACAAACCCTTCCCAGGACAGGTAGATAGGAACCTGTGTACACGGACACACCATCAAGCTGCTTGGAAATAGGCCCACCATGGCCCACCACAAGCCGCCCAAAATCTCTCTTGGTATTCCTTAGAGAGGGCTGGGCCATTGATGTCCTAGTCTATTGGTCTCGCTGTAGGATCCAGACGTATAGCGATTGATTTGTTAACTTTTGGTTGGTTTTGTTGTGTTTTGGGTATATGGGCTGCACAGAGAGCTGATTTTATAGACCACACAGGGGCTGAGGACATCTGAGGACCAAGAGTTGGACTCAGCTAGACGACGCTGAAGGGGCAGAGGAGGTTTTCCCACAACACGTTATTCCTTTCCGTCATGTTGCACTTTTGCCGTACCCTGAGGATGAGGATGAGGAATAGGATGAGGATGGATGAGGAAGGCGAATGAGGATTGAGCTGCGTTTCGCCATACCGCTGTTTCATGAGGATCACGCTACCAAGCCTAAGTTTAAGAATGTTTAAGATACGTAAAAATTTACCATAATTTACCTCTAGATGATGGATTCTAGATTGTTTTTTCTTAGTGTTTCTTCTATCTTTTTTGTTTATTTGTTTAAATTAATCAAAGGTGGGTGCACAGGTAACCCACCACCAAAACAATATTAAATATATTTTTCCAGAAAGCAATGGAACATATTTAATATTGTTTTGGTGGTGGGTTACCTGTGCACCCACCCTTTGATTAATTTGTCACTTGGATGATGATTCCAAGATCTTCTGAGGTTCCTATACAAAATAAATCCTTTTAGGTGGTGGATTGCTTGTTAACCCACCCTAAATTAATTAGCAATAGATGCAAACCCGGTAGAATGTTGGCCTCTGTTTTAGTCAAAACCTTTTCATGCATTTCCTACCTTGCTCCCACTACATGACCGGCAGGTGGCTTCCAAACGGGCTTTTGAGAAGGTGGATGTTAGCCATATGGCCAAGGTAGCTCTTGATCAAGTCTGTGTACTTGCCTGCGTGTGCAGCGTCGGCAAAACTGCTACCACCATTCGCGCAGAACTCGAAAGTTGGTGGTCTGAGATCGGCATGGACATGCTTGTTGGCAGTGACCCCTATGCGGACATCGATGCTGAAGACTTAGCCGAGTTGGACGATGACATCGGAGAGGCTGTGGGGGAACCTGGTGCTGACACTGAGGAACCCATTTCTGCTGACAATGCCGAGAAGCAAGAGTTGCTTGAGAGTTTGCAAGCAGCAGTGCAATATGTGGAAGCGGGCAAGGCGCTTGCAGGCCTCCAAGGTTTGACAGAAGACACAGGAACCTGTGCTGAAGCAGCCTCCAGTTCAGAGCTGCCACCAAGTTCAAATGCCGACCCTGAAGCGAGTGAGAGTGAGGAAGAAGTGGACAATGCCCCAGCGACTCTTCGGGATGACTGCTGCTTCACCTTGCAAGACATCCTCAAAAGCGCTGGCCTTTCCGACTTCAGTCCTCTTCCTGATGACCACGAGAGCAGGAAACTACAGAGGATCCGAAAGTTGTTGCCTCATTCACAGAATTTTTGTGCCTTTGTGAGGGTTGGTGAGAAGATCCTCAGCCGCGCGTTGGTGATGGGGGTCAAGCGCCGCAAGAATCGGCGCAATCTTATCCAACATGCACTGGCTCAAGCACGTCTCACCTACAGCTGCTGTTCGACGAGGCAGTCCAGGCAGGCTCTTTGGCGGGACTATGCGGACCGTGTTGTGAAGGAATCCGCTGCCATCACAGGCAACAGCGATGGGGCGCAGGTACCAAAGCAGTTGGGTGTGGCATCAACTGCCGGTGCTCGTTCTTTCCAGCTCATCATGCGCAGACCTTTGTCAAGCTGCAAAGCTCTGTGTGGTCTACGCTTGGCCGTGGTGGTGGCAGCTTTCAGGGCAGCGCGTGGCAAGAGCGGTCGGGGCAAATCAGTGCTGGTTCCGTCCGGTACACTTCCGGCGCAGTACATCTCGACGGTTCATGTGATGCTTTTGACCCCGTGGGAGGATCCGAAAGCAGACTCAGTGAAGTCATTCATTGGAACGCCGTTTGTCTGATAATGTCTGATATGTATATATATATGGTTTATTATGTTTATTCGGAAGTATTGAGAATTCTGGAGATATGTCGAGATGTCCAACATTTTACAGCATGAACTATTCTAGAATTGTCTTTAGGTCATCTTCGCCAGTGGTCGCCTTGGACACGAAGGACTTTGGAGTTGCGTATGAGGTCCCCCCGGAACAATTTGAGCACCAGATCACCAAAAACCATGTAGCTCGATTAATCTTGATTCCTTTTTTGGTAGCGAAGAATGCAGAATCTTGTAATTCCGTTGTTTCAGGTTGCAAGATGTTGCAAGTATTTGTAAATATTTGTAAGTTCTTGCGAACCGTACATTATCTTCCACTGTTTCAGGTGAGATTTGACCTGAAAGAAGCCGCGTTCGCCACATGGATGGCTGCAGCAGAAGCCAAGACACCCTTCAAGCCCGCAGTGGCCGCTGCGAAGAAAGAAGTTGTGTTTTTGGGTGAGCAGGACCTCAAACCTCACACTGCTCAAGGCAAGATTTCGATTCAGAGGTTCGTCCGGAACATGGTGGATGACTTCGAGTCAATCTTTCATAAGCTGGTTCATGATGACAGCATTGTGGTCACCTTGCCAAGCACCAAGAAAAAGCAGGAAGTCAGCTTTAGCGACTTGGTTACCCGGACGCCTTCGTACTTCATGAAAAGGTTCGAGAAGGCCAACCTCTCCAAATCTGAGAAGAACGTTCCGTGTCAACCCCAGATATTTCCAGAATTCTCCAGATATTTCTTGTTTTTTTTGCATTTGTTTGGGACAACTTTTCTCTGGACAGGTCAAGAACGGAAAGAAAAAAAGCCAAGAAAAAAAACAATGAAAATCAACAGTGAAGAAATGTGAAGAATAGTGAAGACTTCAAGAAAGTCTGAAAACCAAAGAGTGGAACTGAGGATTGGGCGACTTGTCATGCAGGAACTGCAGGACAACATTCCGAAAATTGGCAGCTCACCATATTTATTCCTTCGCTGGCTTGGCCAAATTCATGAAGTTGCCCCGCTCTCCCTCAAAATGACGGTGAGCGCGGAAGGCAGCGAACAGCCTGCATCGTAGAAGTTTGAAATATTTTGAGTGCGGTTCAAAGAAAATGTAGATAATTGTAGAGATATAATTTTACCACTTTTGTTCATGGAGGATCATGGAGGTCTTTTTTTTGGGAATTGCTTTGCTGTCTTTGAATGTTTGTGGAATTTTGTGGCAGTTTGTGGCACCCGGTAGATAGCTTTTAGAATCCACGTTTCTGGGTCCACGTTTCTGGGCTCGCGAGAGATTAATGTCGTTGATGTAGCATGATCCACGAGTATCCACGAGTTGTCCATGAAGCCAAGGTTTTGTTTCAGACTTTTGTAGATTTAGGTTAACTGCGTGGTCAGTCCAGAAATGTCCAGAATCTTTTGGATGGGGAACCACGTGGCCTGGCACATGCTCGAAGCATTGGGGATGCCTGGGTCCACGTGTTCGGCAGTTGACAGATGTTGAAAGGTCTTGAAAACAGATCAATGGAAGCGCTTCTGGCATCGTGCCCGCGTCGGAGAAAAAGGCTCTTGTCCGATAGATGTCGATAGCTTTCTCAATGTTTCCGACAAGTTCTGCCAAGTCTTTTTAAGCTGAGCTGACGACAAACTTTTCTACGACGGCTTGTCGTAAGATCTTGCTTAAAAACGATCATGCGAGACAGGAAAATAATTTGACCGTATGACACTGTGCAGATTAGTTATGGATGGTGGTGGGTGTACCCACCTCTGATTAATTTTTAATTAATTTGAGGTGGTGAGACATGGTGGTGGTCTAATGTAGCCCGCATCTTGCTGCTACTTACTGTTGCTGTTTTTTTTTCGGTTGCGACAAAACAACCTTTTTGTGAGTTTGCCAGGCTCTTCCACTTCCCCTCCCTTTTATATAGTTTGTGAGTTTGACAGTCTCCAATGACTCCAAGCAGATATATCACAAGTCTGAAAAACATCCCTTCCAACCAGACTCTCATTTCTCATCGTTCCGTTGGGAAACTGGTCGGGTCCTCCGAAACGGGACACGGGAGAAACGTCTTTGACTGGCGCAGGTCCCGCTCTACCTGCGCTTCGGCGGCATTTTTGGACTGCTCTCCTTGGCGGCGGTGGGGCCTGGTCGCTGGGCCACCTTCGGACGTGCGGTGGTGCTCCTGGTGTCTTGGAGCACAAGACAGGTGCAGACGGCACTGGTGAAGGGGGGCCCGTACCCACCAATTGGAGTCTATCTTTCCTCCATTGAGGTCATTGAGGTTTTGTGTTTTTCTAGCGAGATCGTGCTCCTACCCCACTTCGTAGCTTTCATCCTTAGGCAGTTTGTGGCATGTCTTTGGGGCTAAGTGTGGGTGAAGTCTCTTGTGAGTAGTAGCGTCCCCAAACGAGACACTGGATGTGGACCTATGTGAGGCACATGTACAAAAAGTTGCTTTGTACATATGATCATATAATCATATATGTGAACACATGTTACATATGAATAGTATATAATAACATATATACTGTACTGTGTATGTATATATACACATCGTTTCTAGGTGGTTCTTTGGGAACGACAAGCACGTCCTTGCAGGCATATTTGCCATTTGACTGCCAGCGGCCAGCGTATCGATTGTTTGAGTTCTTTCTTGAGAGATCACAACAAGCACGGAACCTCGATGACTAACGCTGGATCCTCGCTGGATCAAGCAACTGTCTGGCAATTTCTCCAAAGTTAAGGCACCTTAAGAACCTCATTGTTGTTGTCTTGTTGTTCGCACTAGCCAGCGGAGTTTCAGAGCTGGATTTATGAATGCGATCTCCCTGCCAATTCGGTCAAGGTGCTGCTGCGCCGTTGGTGGAAGTGCTTTTTTCGCTGGCCCAGCCGGGTCTTGGTTTGGAAAGAACGGCCGCTGGAACCTTCCGTGGAGGGACTCCACAAGCGCTTCGTGGAGCTTTACCTTCCAGATGCCGAAAAAGGCGAAGGCCGGCGCGGCTGCAGCCCCGCAGCAACAGCGGCATGCCTTGTCAAAGAAAGCCAAAACAAGGTGAAGCAGTGTTGAAGTCGGCCCTGGACTTTTAAAGATAGGTTGGTTCCCTTCAAAGCAGACGCGAGGAGAACAAGCACAAACTCTGAACAACATTGTTCGATGGAGACTACGAGTGGCCGTCCAATGTTGGAAACCACTCAGAGCTTGGAACCGAATCCAATTCTCTCGACTGATGTCCTCCTTCAGTTCCTCTTCCCCATGTCTGGAGCGAGGGAATCAAGCTCTGTTCTACCTCGGCAGGTGGGGAGTACGCCGTGCTGGGTGCGCAGAAGAAGCTTCAGATCTCGGGGCAGACCTTGGCCTTCTGGGATGTGGGTCCAAGGGATGCGAAAGGCGCCACAAGACGTGCAGAGACGTGCAGAGATGTGTGGAGTCCCGTCGTTGAGGCGGTTTTGGTTTTGGGATGTAGAAGCTGGTGCTTCCACCAGCAAAACGCAGAGAATTCGCGTGGGAATAGGAGGCGTTTGGGAGGGGGGTTCACACGGTTTCACATGGTTTCACAAACTCACACTACTTCCAGGATTGCTGGTCTTACGCCATCATCCAACTGGTCAAACAGTGTTTGCCATCTGTGAACCCACTATTTCTGGGAGGAATCCAAAGGAGGACATTAAAACCATATGTATCAAGTGTCTAAATGAAGAGTCTGTGGGTATATTCTCCCGATCTGGTGGATGTTCTTAGATGACGGTTTGCACCTTTGCAGACTCGAATGTTCCGTCCGTAGCAGTTGTCAAGCCCACCCAAAAGTCCTGAACTGATTGCAACTTCGCGTTTTACACATTTTTTCAGCACCTTCCCCTCAAAAGACCATGCCAAATCTTTCACCTCCCAGCAATTGCAGCATGCAGCTGACCTTCACGTCCGGTCTAAGTCCGTTGGTTCACCCATCTGTTCCAACGGACTGGTCTACTCGGTCTCGGTCTCCGGTGTCCAGATGCGGTCTTGGTCTGCAACGGCCTGGGCGCTCGGGTCATGACCTGGGCGCCGCTGCTCACGGCGCTGCGCAACACCTCGGCCAGCTGGGCCCAGCGCAGGAGCGAAGCAGAGTGGTTGAGCTGAAAAGGACGGTAGCTAAGACCTCATCAAAGACCAATCCAGAACTCCAAACATTTGACAGGTTGATACAGGAACAGCTTTGTAATTATGTTTGGCATGACATATTGCGTGCATGGGGCAGGACGGTAAGCGGTTAAGAAGTCAAGCATGCATCCTTGTTTTGTCTCCTGGGCAAGTCGCATCAGGCTGGTCATTTTCGATTACCGGGGGCAGTTTGAAGCTTGGCTTGGAACATGATATAATAGTTAGATCAGGTTGTGCTGCAGGCAGACACGTTGAGTTCAAAGGCTTTGCAATCTGTATCTTTTAATTCAAACGTGTTTGCTTCTCTCCACAGGCTTAGAATCCAATCGCACAAGGCGCCGATCCAGGCTTCGCCGGATATTGCATTGGTTCGTACTTTCCCGCAATGGCTGGCCTACAGCATGTTCTTGAAGCTGCCATGCTTTCTGCCGAAATCAACGACCTACTTGCCCAGTGATGCCCAGAACACATGTCCTCATGTCAACACGCACCGGCGTGGCACAAGGCTTCGACCTTCGACGGTAGGAGCTAGGCCGAAAAGAGACCCACACACTCCAACTGACGGAAGCACATGTACATACATTGACCATCATGAACCCCTTTTGTGTCGCGATTCTTTCAAGGACAGCGTGCCCTTGCAGGGGGAGATTTCAGTGGAGTCAGGAGCTGAGAAGCCGAGCCACCCGTCGCTGGCAGAACATGTCCTATGCTTTCCTAGCTTAAAGCAATGCGTCTCACATCACACATACGGTATAGCGCAGGATTCGATATGGTTCTGCGCCTGATATGCGTTCATTTGATTGTCTATTGAGGCGCAGTGCGAAGGATGCGGCTGAATTGGCCGATCATTTGAAGCTGAAGCGCTGCATCCTGCTCTGCTGGTCTACGGGTGTGCAGGATTCAGGGCACATGGAGAGTTGACTGGTGGGTACCCACGTGCCCGATATTAGAAGAATTATTTTCATTCCATGCCAGAGTGAACTGTACTATTGTTCACTTGATTTCACTTGATTGCACTTCTAACTTCTAACCTGTCGCAGTCTAGCATCAATGGCGCACACACTTTGATGGGCTTCACCCAAACAACGTCTTCGTTTTGGAACAGATCGGCTTGCAGCTGGCGCTGGACCGCCCGGACCTCGTCGCTGCCATGGTCCTCATCCAAGGCGAGAGACTCGCACGGAGCTGTCGAACAGAGCGACCGTCGAACGGCGAGTCGAAGGGAGCGAAGGCTGCGCTGATTGGCTTAGGGTCGGTTTGGGTTGGTCCTCTCCAAACCGGGTTGGTCATTATTGGGAGAGGAGTCTATACGAAGCTGCAGCGGTTGTAGCATGTTGTGGTTTTGCCAGACAGATGTGCTGTTCCAGAGGTTTGTGGGGCCCCGGGCTTCTGCGGCACCGGAGACGCACTCGAATTCCGCTGTCCAGGCACGACCGGCGAGGCCATGAAAGCGCTGCTGCAGCCCCTCTGCCAGGTTCCAGGCCAGAACGAATGGGACGTTGACAGATGTTGCACGCTTGTCAACAGTACACATTAGATGAGAATGGCTCACTCGGCCATGTTTCACACATGTTCAAGAAGAACAGGTGTGTGTTTTTTGGTTTGTTTTTGAGGAACGAAAAGAGGATGTTCTCTGCCCCTGATCTCTGAGAAGATCCAAAAGATCCCTGGAAACATGCGGAAGACGCGGAGACCAATTTGCAGCTGTTGGTATTGGAAAGGTCATCGGTCATATGAAGGCAACAAACAAGAAGCAAGACAGTAGAGAAGTGGGGAGAAGTCGGGCCAGTTAGGAGGCTTCTATAAACTTGGCGTGTGTTGTTTTCTGCGACAATCCACCTGCTGTGTGAGCTTGCATCCGTACAACGGTTCGGCTTCACAGTTCCACATGAGACCTCATGCCACAGCGCCAAAGGTGTGCCCTCCTTGCTGGACTTTGGCCTGCAAATGGCGCCGCGTTTGCTGAAAAGCCATCGACAGATGATGCACGGCGCACTGGTCAGGCCAACAAATTTGAGTCAGTTGAGAGGGTTTTGACCAATTCTCAAGATTTCCGCCAGTGGAGTATCAGTAGTGATGAGAAGCTCCTACTCATACCACATCATACAACTTGCCATGGGTAGTACTCTTGCATGAAACTTGCTGTGGGCATCGGGACTCATTTGGCGCATCGGATCCAAAACCGAGAAGCAACCACAAACAGAACAAATGCTTCCCTCACAAGGCATCGGAGTGCCTTCGAGCGGCTGGGAAGCTGCCTTCTTTGGTTCTTTGGCAGTGACCTCATCGCTGCAGCAGGCGTGCGATACACCCAGGCGCCAGGGGGTTCCGCGCGCCCGCATGCGCCTGTGCGCAGACGCGCGTCGTGGGGAAGCGCATGTGGAGCGCAGTGGAATGTCTTGTTTTTTTTGGTTTTAATGTTGGAGAGTGTTCGGATCATTGCGAGTCAAAGGTCTTTCATTTAGTGAATTTAGTGCCAAGTTACAGTACCGCAGAAGTAACAGTGAGATTCTTGGCTTCTTGGTGTCGAAGGATATGTTACAATCGGACGAGCACTTTGTGAACTATTGCCGCTATGCTTTGGCGCTGGGTCGGGGTCCTAAGCATGTTTCCTTTTACTCATCTACCTGCCTCTTGCAGCAACAAGACAGACCTGACTGCCTAGTGTGAATCCTTTCACCCCGTATGAGTCATTGGCACACTTGCAGTTCAGTAATTATGATCTCGAAGAAGAGGTTGCTCTTGGCTTTGACTGATCCTACAAAAGACTCGTCTTTGTGGGAGGTGTTCCAAGCCTGTACTTCTCTCCATGCCTTTTGGCGCAGTGCAAGTCGAGGTAGACACAAAATTTTCTCCCGCCTCCCTGACATCAAAGCGCCTGCCTTCGTAGTGACAGGACTCACGCACAATAGCTAAAATGCTTTTCCGGGCATTGTTAGCTGACATGTTTCTTGAGTTGATTGAGTAGACCAGCCAGATTGTGATCAGACCAGGAACTCCGGATTTCATTACACCAGCTCGGTGTAGCTATGACATGGCAGTGCAGCTGGGTGGGCCCACCAACCTCTTGGATTCTTGGCATGGAAAAGAGGTGAAGTTCTGGAACGCCCATCCGAAAAACAACACTTTCAAGGGCTGAAACGTCTCCCTTGACTTTACTTTTAACAACATATTTAGTTTAGTTCATGTCTTGACTCAGGGAAGCTTGTGGGTGACCCTGAAGTTTGTGTTCAACAACTTCCAGGTTGAAAGTTCTTTTTTCCTGTGCACCCTCCAGGTTGTCTTTTTTTTACCATCCACCAAGCGGTTGGAACTCTTAGAACTTCCAGGTGAAGGACTCGACCAGACCGAGCTGATACGCGTTGAGTGGGCGATCATGTTGAGAGGACAGATATGGGCATTTTTGAATGGTCAGCCAAAAGCACTTTGCTAGAGAGTGCATCAGGGGTTGGCATCGGTTCATGGAAGGGAGAAACAAAACTGCCTTACAAAGGGAAACTATAGGCAGGCATTTCATTGCCACTGGGGTTTGTTCAAGAGCCATCGTGGTGCCACCGACCTTGCTCTTCAACTCTCACAATGTGAAGTTGACCCAACGATAGAGAAGTTTGAACATGTTTTTTTTCACCCCTGGGGCAGTCTGTGGGGCTTTGTTGAACAGTGAGCCGGACACAGCGATCGAACGGTCGTCACTGTCTGGGACAGCGACGCGTCCGCGACGGTCCGTGACAGCGACGCAGCTCAGGATGACTTGGGTGGCTCCCATTACTACATCTATGAGGCGCGCGTTCAAGCGGAGCGGAGCTGGCGACTGGTTTTTCCAAAAACGATGTCGCTGGAACGGAACCGGAGGCGTTTTTGGTTCTGTTTCGAAACCCACTGATATTCGCTGAAGTCCAAAACCGCAACCCATGGAGCCTCGTTTTTCAGGAGCCGCAGAAGCTGGCCCAAGAGATGGCCCAGTTTCTGGAGCGCTGTGCTCCAGTGAAGGCTTAGCGACCCAAGAAGGAGGTTTCGGATTTTTCCTGAGTGAAGACTGGAAGCCGATGTTCTTTCCATCTCTCGCTCGTCCCGGACGCCGTGTCTGGCTGAACCTGGCCTGTAGCCTGACGACCTGTAGCTTGAAGAGCTGCATGTCGCGGTCCGTGATGTGTGACGAAGCCTTTCGAAAAAGCGAGCAAACAGCTTTTCATGAGCTGTCAGTCATAGGTCGCTCTTGTCAACGGGATGACATATCATAAAGGTGAACCAACAAAACCGTTTTGGAACCTCTCCAACGCGGCCAACTGAGAACGATTATCATGCCGAGATATGCCCGTGCGGGTTTTCTTCATGCCAGGCCGTCACATGCGACGTCGCCTGTGCTCCTGTCATGTGCCTATGTTTGTTCTTCCAAGGAGGTTGGACACAATTTGATATGAGTTTTTTTGATATGTTTTGATGTTTGGTGTGATCATTTTGTGTACTGTCAAAGGCTCCATGGGACTTGTTGCAGCACTTACTTGAAGTGATGTTTGGTGTTCCTGTTCATCCTCTCGTTTGCCAATCTGTCTCAGAATAATCAGACTCCCAGAGACGAAGGCGTAGGCGAATACTTGGTGATTGGGGGTCACATCCTTTGGAAGAGAAATTGGTGCGAACATGTCGGGAGTCCATCTACTTTTGAAAACACGCCCAGATGGTGAGTTTCAGACCGATGCAACCCATTTGGTTCCTCCAATTGGAACCGTGAACGCAGCGCGCCGCGTGCCAGTTCTGGGCGACACTCGGGTGCCTGACTCAGAGGCACCTGACCGTGACCATGTACCCGGAATTTGTTGTGTGGCACCGTTCGTGGCTGTTGGTGGATACTCTCCCTGGAACTAACATGGAAGTGGACAACCATCTGTTTGTAGTGGAAAATGGTCTTCCAAGGGGCCATTCTCCACTTCCATGTTAGTTCCAGGGAGTGTAGGAGAGGATAGAAGGTGGACCGGCACCATCGGTGCTTCGGTTTTGCTCTGAAAAAAAGGCGATGGCAGTTTATCATGGTTCTCATCATGTTTCATCACATGTCCAACATGGAAGCCAAGGCGGCTTTTGTTTCGATGTTGGCGGCTCAACAGAGTTGCGACTCCAGTCTCGCACCGTTGCAGACCTGTTACCAGTTGTTACCTATTGCCGTAGTTCGTTGCAGTATGTAAACTCTGAAAGTCCAACATTCTGAGTCATGATTGCATGACATGCCGCTTGCATGACATGCATCTCGCTGATGACATGGCAGGGCTTTTGTTGCGGATGCGATATTGAGAAGGTGGTGCCAGTGCCTAAGATGATGAACACATGGGCACTGTCCACCTCTGCCACAAGCCAACCGGGAATGACTAGGATTTCACATTTCCCACTAGCGCCAACCAGCCGTCTGAAACAGGGCCGTGACGTCTTCAGACACGTCTTGTTTTGGGCGACGCGAGGGGTGGCCAAGCAAGTCGTGGCAGCTCCACTTGCGACCTCTTCAGCATGAGCAGCTCGGCTGAAGACCTGCTGGGTTTGGAAGGGGACGAGTGGAGCTCCGCAGGGCTTTCGGCATGGCAACTCACCCAAGATAGTGAGAAGAAGCTTTCGAGAGGGATGTCCTATACCTGTCATTGAAAGTGCCTTCCGCGAGGGTAGGAAGTCCGCCTTTTTTGAACCTAAGTGGGTAGAAGGCCGGGCGGACTGGCGGGAAGATAGAGACAAACAGCTGGTCATGTTTGACATGTTTGTTTTTCGAATCCTGGCTACCCGGCGACCATTTCTATACTAGGCCCACACCTTCTGATACCAGGTGCTTGCTTTGTTGGATCGTCAGTTACCGCCCACAATGAATCAAAGAAGAGGGCACACCTCTGGATGATGGATCAGCGCTTGCTGCTCAACAAACCTTGAAGCTTTGTGCCTTCCTACCCAAGAATGTCGCAGAACCACATTCAAGGAAGGACACCAGAAATCCTTGAAGCCATCCTGCAAAAAGACAAAGACACTCATGTTCCAAAGAAAAACCACCAACATATGCCCCAAAAATCACCCCAATCATCCTTCCCTGCCAGGTGACACCGCCCATTGCCTGAACTTTGATGACCTGTGGTACTCGGTCTTCGAAGTCGCCGAGCCTCAGGTGGCCCCACATCGATCCGCATAGAAACGCAGGTTTGTCAGCTATGCAGAGTGATATATGATTATATGAAGCTGTTTGCGAGGTATGTACCAGCTAACAGTCGCCAGCTGGCCAGCTGTCTTCAAATGTCTTTATCTTCAACTCTTCAAGACCACTCTGCAATAATTACTCTGCCCACAGTGTCAGACCACCTGATCCTGAGATAGGATGCAGATTATGACCGAATATGTTGATTCTCACGAGTGTTACTACCTCTCTTCGTGCCTCAAAACCAACCCGTCCACCAGCGACCCGAGCAATGGTCAGCGCCTACCAGCACCGAGCCGCGCAGATCTTCTACGACATCACCGTGCGTTTGAAGATTCCGACGACCTACGTGATGGGCTGGAGGAGAAGATGACCCCGCTCGCTCGCTCGTCCGAGCTGCTTGCGGCTCCGTAGACGATCCCTCGGCTCGCCAGGAATGTCACCTACTCCGAGACGACCATGGTCTTGAGTGCGGGCCGCGACCAACTCGTCAAACCGGCACCACGGTGAAGATGAACACTCAAGATCTCCAATTCTTGAGATCGCGCCGTGAGCAAAACTAGCATCATGCTTGATGTTTAACGCTTACAAATGACAAGGAGTATTCCTGAAAGGACAGGTTACCTGGTTCTTATATAATTGATGTAGTTGCGCTCTTGACGTGCACGCCACAAACACAGATGCGGGACTTTCATTCAGCTACTTGTAGTTTTGTTGCACCCGGTCTGGTGAACACCGAGATGCCAAATTGATGCGGAGGCATTGATACCATCCCATGTCTCTCCCCTCTTGGAAATGGAAGCATATTCGGATTCACCAAATATTTCGATGTCAAAAGGGCCCCTTGGACCCTCAGCACCGGCCGCCCCCAACCATGCTTCCTTTCAGAAAACCGCACGCACCTGCATGTTTGCAGGTCATCAGCAGCCTACAGCCTCTGCACCCGGAGGACAAGTAAGTTGTGGAGCCTCTGCGTTCTTTGGATCCCTTTTGGATCGGAGAAGAGCCGAACAACTCGAGTTGAACAACTGTGCAGAAGAGCAGTGAGGAACGTTGCGCGCAGAGCTGGTGGGTGACCTCGCTACTGCTGTGGCACCACAGCGCTTTGAATCCAAGTGCCCAAAGACCACAGAAGCATTGTAGCAATGGCCTCCAACCTAATAGCAATGGCCTCCAACCTAATTACA